GCCCGAAGGTGGATGTTGGGGGAGAAAAGCGCTCTTCGTTTCCTTTCCAGGCACATGCCGTCTATCAAAAAAGTCATCACGCACTTTCTTTGCCCCCCCTCAAGGTTCGGCCTCGAAGAATCTCAGTGCGACGTCTGCTCCTCCTTTCACGTTACGGGCCTGTTTCTGTTTCGCTTAGAATTCTCGTCTCGGCGTTACTCATTGGATGCTCATTCAAATTCGCAGGTCTGGATTTTAATTTGGCCGGTCTCGACGAAAAGGCTTGTGCCACAGTGTCGGACGATTTCCAGGTGGCACCAACCAACAGCAGCATGTCCCTCCATTTGCTTTTTTTTTTCCTTGCGGAGTCGCGTTTAGTCCGGAACGGAGAGGCCATGGTGCCCACCCTGGAGTGAGGGGACGATGATAAGGTGATGATGATGATGGATGGGCAAGGCCTTCCGCTCCCCCTACCTGCCCTAGTCGTGAAGTCCTATACCCCTGCTCCTTGCCTCTGACTTGCGGATGCTCGCCAGATGTGCACAAGCCATCTTGCTTCAGCCGCGATAGCTCTCGCGTCGCAAACTTTCTAGCCCGACTCCCGTCTTTCCCATTCCCTGAACGGCCATCGATCCTTTGCCCAGCGTGCCCATGTCTTTACGGTATCGTGCCGCGACCCCCATCCTGGCCCTCGGTTAAATGACCACGACCAACCTGACGAACGCCAGATTGGGCGTATCTGCTGGGTCTTTCAAGCGCTAACGTGAGGTACAGCGATAATCAGCGGCGGCATCAAGTGCCCGAGCGCCTTCGAGTATCTGCTACCCACAAATAATGCACCTCTCATTACGTCGCTACAACTGGCTTTGGTCTGAAAGCAGCCATGGCTTGACGTCCACACAGAAGCAAAAAGAGATATTACAGAAGCAACTTCTAAGACTAACCAGGTCTCGGACGGATTGTACAACGCATTGTTGTCTGACCCTGGCTTTCAAAAAGAACCCGTGAGTCGACTTAAACCCTGCACCCTGTTCCTGGGGGCTGATGGCATCATCTGTCAGCTTGTGGCTGGTCAGTACAACTTTTAGGGCCCCAGGTCACCACGAGTTTCAGGTTTAGCTCGCTCCATTTGCTGCGCGTCATGGCCCAACCTGACTGCCTGCCTGATGGGTCGACCTAGACAGGCGTTGCTCGTTTCCTCGCACGGAGTAGCACTCCGCGATTTCCAACGAAGTACCGAGTAACGGCATCAATACTGGACTCTTCCAGCCTCACCAATCTACTCACAAACAGAGGAGAGACCAGCCGTTTGGTGAACCTCATCTCCGAGCCTTTGTCCACGCTCGATCCTTCCAAGCCGGATGTTACTCATCCTCGGCCCAAGCAAAAGAGTGGCCCCGGATGCACCGGTAGGAATGATACTAACTGGCTATCTTGATGACAAGTGGTATCCAGGGCTTGTGCGGCGGCGGGTCTCTCGCTCATTACCGAGTATTTTTTTCTGGAAAGAGGTTCAGGACCGAAGTTACCAACCTCCTTCGACGGAGCATTTAGACAAGCCCCCAACAGGCTGAGCGTTGTGGAAAGTTTGCTCAGTCCAACGTCGTCACAACACGTGTGAAGTGCAAACTCAGCGAGTAGCAACAGAGCGAAAGCACCTGAAGCAAGAGAGGCATCTTTGTGGCCTGGGTAAATATACTCGCCTCAGTGGCTGATGGTTACTGAGCCTTCTCGTCTATTGTTGGCAAGGGGATCTTCAGAGGGACAGCTTGCTTGCATGCGGGGATGCAGACGGGATGTCCCCGCTCTGCATGTGTATCCGCTATGAATTAAGGTCACATTGCAGGTTGAATCTATCTGGATCCAAGATGCCAACCAGAGGCATGCAAATGCAAGATCACGGCCTTCCTAAGGCCACAATGCATGGACAATGCACCACCTCCTGTCAAATATGCCTTCCCTTTCAGAAAGCTTGAACTGCATGCCAGGACAGGCTTCTACAGTAGTAGATCTGCCGAAATGTCCTGATGGTCCACATCGGCGGCCGGCCTTCACCCGATGACAGGACCATTTTGCGCAAGGGACAGAGGCAGGGGGGTTGCTTAGGGCCAAGGTCTCAAGGAATTGTGGCACATGCGACCCTTGAGTCTTTTCAGCCTCTCGGTGGGAATGGTGCAGGTATGGTGGTAGGGTATGACCACCCCCCCGGCCATGATTATCGCATGGGTCCCAAAGCCCAATAAGGACACGGCTCTTGTACGATCCACCAAATACCGAGTACAGGAAGACACATCGAAAAGGTCTTTCGACTAACTCCCCACCTCTTTTCCTTCGGATGGCTAAAGACAGAAAGGAAATACAAGTAGCAACATGGGAAGGGGAAGTCCGTTTCAAAGCGATTGGCATGGTCGACGAGTTCACAATTCTTCGTACAAATCGCTGGCCGGCTTGCCGCCCTCGACCCAACAAGTCTGATGTGTTGTCAACCCATGATTTGCAGAAGCAAGTCCCGGCAGCCCACTCTCACACCGGCTTGGACCAGCTTCGGTTGAGGCAGTCCAATCACTGCCGTGCAAGGCCCGGGTCAGCGTCGCGAGGATCGCTCGATCAGCAATGGTTACTCCGTTGAGCACGTATCCTAGAAGTTCTCTGAACGGGGTGCCTTATCCCTAAGTTCTTGTCCAGCCAAAGGGTTCTCTGGCTTCTGTCCCCTAGTGGAGTCCATATCACGAGAGAAAAGGTCTCTTCTTTGTTGAGAGCCGCTTCGGGAAGCATTAGGCTTGAGAGGAGGCTGGGCCCTAGGGAGAACCTTGATGTGTGGGCCGGCCTGTGTTGCCGGACATGCTCGTCCTTAGAGGGGCCCTCCATGCAAGAGATGGACAGGTTGATGCGTCTGCGATATTCAGCCTTCCCTTCCTGTTTCCGCTGTTGCATCGGCATTGCACTGCATCCCCTGTTTACTGCAAGCTTGCGATCTTGCATCGATCGCCTGTGCAGGACGCACTGCGTCTGAGAAAGTCTATGCCGATCCATCACCGTCGCCAGAGGGTCGAGCCCGGCTTAGCAGCACCAACTCCCTCTCGCTTAGGCGGAGAACAAGAACGCAAACCGGGCGAGGAACAGCAGCCCGTTCTGGAAAGGGCAAAGACGAGCTCTCCCAAGGCGGAGGGGGAACCTTGGGGTTAGAGAGACCCCTCTCGTTTCGGATTCACGAAGATGGCCACTGTCGACTGGCTGTGATTGGGTCGACTACTGCCGGGAAAATCTACGGAAAGACATTGCCCCCTTACCATGCACATCACAGTTGCATGAAGATCATTGCGAAGGCTTTTGTGGCCCAATACCTCAGAGGTTCGATGTGCCTGCGGTAAGGAGGCGATCCGACATTGCTCCATCCACATCTTGGAACAGCCAAAGGCAGGAATGTCTTGCATTATTGTCAGATCAAGCTCACCGGTCTCACCTCTGATGCCCCCTGGGCTCTGGCATGCTACGATCAGGGATACATGATGTCTGGTCAGCTCTGTTATACGAGATGTGGGCTAAGCTCTCGTCTCTCCCCTAGCCCCGCGATCCGTCCGTGGAAGGATTTTCGGTCAGCCTCGACACTTTGTGCCATCCAGCCCAATGCTCTATCTGCCTGTCCAAGACTTGGAATCAATCTTCGTTCCATTGTCGCAACAAATGTCTCTTTCGAATCAGATCCTTCCGATTGAGGGCAATCAATCTCGCAGGGTCTAGGAGCCCAAATGTTTGGGAGAAGGTCCGCTCGGCAGGATGGCGGATTGTTTGCTGCCAGCGCCACACTCATGCTGCCAGTCGACGGTAAGGAGTAGGGACACTCCTACTGGTCCCGTGTTCATATGTCTGAAATGACTACCATTTGTCGTCAAGATCAACACCGTCCATCACTTCCCTTGAGCGTATCGAAGGAGTTTCAGTAACGAATGATGGGCACCCAATGGGCTCACCGGCATCGTGGTGACAAAGACAGGAGGTCGCGAAGGTTAGGGCAGCGGTGACAATGACGATGGCAACTGTGCCATGACTATTGGCTCTCAGCCATCCAGGAGGCACTCAATTTCTGTGTCGACGGACTTGTTTCTCCCCTCGCAAGCCTGAATTGATCGTCCCCTACATTGGCCGCCTTGCAGTCTACCCGAACACCCTTTTCTGGAGGGCCAGGCCTGAGTGATATCACAGTACATGGCCGATGGATTTCTTTTCCGAGATTGTTGTTGCAGAAGAGGTTGCTTTGCGTTTCCATGTCTGCGAGGTAGGGCTCCCGTGCACTTCTCACACATTCTTATACCTGGTTGTTTTTCCACGGCAAACCGACCCTGCGGTATCTCTGAAGGTTGCGAAAGATGCCACCATGTCAATGGTCCGCAAGAGCGCTCTTGACAAAGTACCGTTTGCCGTCATGTCGTCGAGGATGAGCTGCTGGCATTGATGGGGGTTTCAGACACAACCCGTTCGTGGAGGATTGCTGTCAAGTTTCTAGTCGGGGTCTCCGCGAACTATGGATGTGGCGTTGTCGAAATTGCCCCAGCGCTTCACTAAATTGCCGACGCATGCACTCGCGCAGGTGCGAATTCCTCGCGCAATTTGCGTCTCGAATCTCCGTACGGGAGGACAATAAGTGACTTGGACCCATGTATTCCTGGCCGGGAGAAAGCCATTGTATCAGATATGCAATATCTCCAAATATGTCCATCTTACACTCTGGCCAATTTCATGGCACGGGGACGATAGAGACCTCTTCTTAGATGCTTCATGGCGTGCCCTCGAACCTTTTTGTGTCTTGACATAACCACCCTCTTCCAACTTCCAGGAAGATTGCTTCGTGTCATCCCCACCTCTGATACCTCGCGTTTTGCCCCCGACGATATTCCCATCCTCTTTGTTGGTATCAAGAATAATTTTTCAACTCCACAATAACGCCGTGCCATCCGTTCCATGCCATGTCCTGCAGGGAAAAGAGCAAGACTCGCTCCCCCCTTCGCGCTCGTTATGAGAGATCAATCGTCTCCGTAGTCAACGTCCTCGTCTTCATCGGCCCCTCCCTCAGCAGCACCGATGCCGGCACCGGCCTTGCCGGATGCTGCATAGCTGCTGAATTTCGCATCGTCTTCGGCTTCCCTCGATGCCGCATCCTTTGCCACGTCCTCGCATGCGTCGATCCAGTCCGAGTACACATCGACGGCGGCGCTGAGGTAATTGATGCCGGTTTGGAACCTCTGCCCGCAGACCTTGCAGTGCAGGTTGCCCACGCCGGCCTTCTTGTCGAGTTTGACTTGGATGGCTTTTTCGTGGTTGCAGAAGAGGCAGGTGAAGGTCGAGGCGAGGGGTTCGCGCTACAGAGACGGAAACGAGGTGACGTTAGCATGAGAGAAACAGCACGGGCAATGCAGGGTGTGAGTTTCGCTCGGGATTGATCGTGGAGATGAAGAAATGAAGATTGAACTGACTTTCTTGGGCCCTTGCGGCTTGCTGGACGACTTCTTTCGTTTCCCCTGTGACGGCGGTGTCAGTTGTTTCTTTCGGGGTGTCTCCCTGGAAAAAATTCATGGGTGCTTACCATCGTCTTTCTAAAATATCGAGGTACCTCAAGATTTTAGTGTGGCGGACGGGTTGATGAACGAGGGTCGCCTCGAGAAAGTAGAGAAAGGACTCGGTGACATTAAATAAGGCGACGTCGAGGACGTCGTCTCCAAAGTTGACTCAGCCTCGTCTTCACTCACCTCCGCAGTTCACCCTGCGAGTCTTGTCACAGCCCAGTCACGTGAAGACACAGAAGTCTTATCGTTATCGCGCGGCAGCCTCCGACTGTCAGATCAGCCAATCACAGCCACTGCGGGACATCGAGTTCCAGAGGCGCATTTCCCCCTCGTCCCTCTCTCTCCCCCACTGCAACCAACCATTGCTTCAACGTTGCAGTCTGATGGGAGAGATATTACTTCTTCACTTTCCTATCTATCTTCTTTATCCTCATTGCCTATATACATCTTTAGACCGTGCTTGAGCCCTCGGGGCTTCTGTTGGTTTGTGTGAGAGCAAGTGGTCGTGCTGGAATTTCCGGGCCATCCCTTGTCAGCATTGTCCTTTCTGTCGCCCATCTGTTGTTAGGATCTCTTCCGGTGTCAAAAAAAGCAAAACAAAGCAAAGTTGTTGACGCCTGATTGTTTGGGAACTGCTTCAGAACCTTTGGACGAACTTCTTGCCTCCCCACGTCGATATCTTTCCATCGAGCAGATATTGTTTGTTTTCCCGGGCATTTAAACACAAGATGGCGAATTCTCAGCCCATGAATGGGGCCACTCCCGACCCCATCCTCTCAGAGATCCTCGCGACCCTCAAGAGCCTAGATGCCAATATGGAGTCCCTCCAGAGTAGATTCGAAACCGCTCAGTCGGTCAACCAACTACGCGGCGTTCCTCAGTCTCGGACGAACCTCTCTCCCAGCTTGGATCCCATCCAATTGGGCAAATCTGCAAGCGGCGCCTCTTCTCCACCGACGGATTCCAGCCTGGCTCCTAAGGCGCCTTCATCACCCACGAGCCCTGCGAGGAAATCATCAGTCACCTCGCGAATCATCCTTACTACCTACCCGGGCCAATCGGGAATCGACCCCATTCCTCTTGAATGGGGAGAACCGAATCCCATCAAACGTGGTCCTGTCGTGGTCAGTCGTCACCACAACACCATCCGCCGCCGCAACGCCATCGGTGCCCACGGCGGGTCCTATAGCATATACCACGCCCTTGCCGTAGCGAGCAACAATTTGGACCTAGAGCACAAACCGGACTTTACCAACACCGAACCGGCCGCGAACATTGGACCGTTTCCAGCGTGGGGCGACAGGAAGAAGATTGTCGCCATGGACCCCTTTGGTCATCTGGCTCCCTGGCTATACAAAGACCTCATGCAGTCCCAAGACATCGACATCCGCCCCACCATTGCCGTGACCAAGGCGCACATGAAGATCCCGGAGCTCGAACAATCCGTCAGAGCCGGCCGCTTGAAACCGGATGGGCGGATCTGCCTCAACGAGACTGGAGAATTGAACGTGACCAAATTCGCGGTCGAGCCCGTCTGGTATCTCCCCGGGGTGGCGGAGCGGTTTGGGATCCAGGAAAGCGCACTGCGACGGGCGCTCTTCGAACACACGGGCGGTTCCTATCCGGAGCTGGTGACGCGGAACGACATCAAGGTGTTCCTGCCCCCGATCGGCGGGCTCACGGTGTACTGCTTCGGCGACCCGGCCAAGATGGCAGATCCCAACGTGCGGCTGGCGCTGCGGGTACACGACGAGTGTAATGGCAGCGACGTGTTCGGGTCCGACATCTGCACGTGCCGGCCGTACCTAATCTTCGGGATCGAGGAGGCCGTCAAGGAAGCCCAGAAGGGCGGCTCGGGCGTCGTCATCTACTTCCGCAAGGAGGGCCGCGCCCTGGGCGAGGTCACAAAGTACCTGGTCTACAACGCTCGCAAGCGCGGCGTCGACCGGGCCAGCGAGTACTTCAAGCGCACCGAGAACATCGCGGGCGTCAAGGACATGCGCTTCCAGGCCCTCATGCCCGACATCCTGCACTGGCTAGGCATCACAAAGATCGACCGCATGCTGTCCATGTCCAACATGAAGCACGACGCCATTGTCGAGCAGGGCATCCCCATCCTCGAGCGTGTCCCCATCCCCGACGACATGATCCCCGAGGACTCGCGCGTCGAGATCGACGCAAAGATCCACGCTGGCTACTTCACCACCGGCAAGGTCATGTCCATCGACGAGCTCAACGCCGTCCAGGGGAGGAGCTGGGATGATATCGAGCATTAACCCCTGTCAGTCTGCGTTGTCGGCAAAGCTTTGAGTGCTAGATATGTTCGAGTTGGACTACAGACCCAGGTTATTATCGATGTTGGAAAGTTACAAAAGAGGCGGCGAGATTGCAGACACATAGGAACGGATTGTAGTCAAGCCGACGCTGCTGACCAAGAGACAAACTTCCCAAGATCCCTGGTTTTGCATGATTGATGGATTGATTGTTTTCTTTTTTTTTGGATTGATTGTTCTAGTTCTGTTCTCTCCGATGTTCGGCCATAGAATGTGCACTGACTCGATGCTCTAGCTCCAACCCGTGGGAAGGAGAACAAGAGCAGAGTCGCACAATCCAGGCCTGTATCCACACACAATGATTGAGGTCCGATTCAGTCGATGCCAGTAGTCCGCAGGAACATCGAAGTTGCCGATTTCAACATATCCATGCCCACCGTGCACCCCATTGCACCACATCCTCTGCTCCTCATCTCCAGCATCGACTCTTCTTTCACCATGTCCCTCAGAAAGCGTGTTTGACCACCCCCTCCGATTCAGACTCGCTGTTCATCTGCACAGCACCGTTGGTAGCAAAGTTGATTCAACCCATCCCCATCGAGTGTGATCGTGTTTTGTTGTTTTCCTCTTGTTTTACTCTTGACGTTGTGCCGGGTCTAAGAATTCGAACTTTCCGAACCCCTTCCTGTTGGCAAGACTCTCCCGTTTCCCCTTGTGTCTTTTTTTCAATCATGTGCCACCCTGACATACTAGAAGTTTTCAATACGCGTAGGACGGACTGGACCAATGGTATGATGTGACATCCTGGCTGGTGACATCCTGGCTCTTGATCAGTTACCAGTCAGACACGTAATGCAACAGTACGGGAAATGATGGGATGAACCCCTCATACACCATCTTCACCCTATGTTTACAGTCCATCGGGTCGACACCATCTCCATTCTCATCTGTCACACGCATGACCTGCTTCATCTTTTCCTTGAGATCAGCAAAGCACTTGTTGGTCAGCCCTCTGTAGCGATAGATGGTGACAAAGTTGTAGCACTTGATCTCGGTAAGAGCTTTCAGGAAGTGAAAGTCGTTGGAGGAAACGCAGGCGCGGCCAGCGAACTGGATTGCGAGCGTCTTCAAGGTGACATTGCGTCCAATAAGACGAAAGATCTGTTGCAGGTGTGGGTCATGGACAAACTTGCGTTCTGGAATCTGGGTGGAAGTTCTGGTACGATTGTCCGCTCCATCGGTGAGCACAAATGAGACGTATTTGAAGTGAGAGATCTGTACAAGGGTGTTAGTTTCCACCATTAACTGGGGACGAGGCATTCGCTTCTGCAGCACTTACGTTGACAGGTCCAATGTCTTCAAGAAATCGTCTGACATCTTTGTATCCGACCTCTTTCCAGGCCTTCTCGTAGTATCGACCGCGAATAGCAATTTCTCGGGAGAAGTGGAACGAGTTCTCACCATAGAGGACCTCTCTGCCTTCTCGGAGAACAGTTTTGCAAGTGCGGAGAAAGTGAGAAGAGCGTGAGAAATCGCGGCGATCGAACTCGATGGCTTTGTCGTCACGGAAGAGCAATCGGTATGTCTTCAAGCGAAGCTCCATAGGCAGGTCAAGGAAGCCGGGTTTCTTCTTCTGAACCGTTGCGGTGACCTTGGGAGACTCAGGGGTGACCCCGGAAGACTCAGTGGTGACATCAGCAGGTTTGGCTTGTGGTGTGGTAGACAAAGTCCAGGAAGTAGCACCCAAATTCTTTAAGAGGTCAGCCAGGTTGAGATTGATAACTGTCTTGACGCCACCTTCGCCGACAACCTCAACGCTCCTAGACAGATGTTTGTCAGCTAGGTACCAGAACGGGGGTTCGGAAGATGAAGCAAAACCATCATCAAGAGACGTCCTACAAGGGAGACTGGACTTACAGAGCCTTTGAGAGCTTGTTCTCTTCCTCATCAGTCTTGTTCGCACCAGCTCGACGTTCGACAGCCCAGAGACCACCATCCTCTTCCTCCTCAGTGGCATTGCCGTTCGTGGCAAATTCATCATCTGAGAGATCCTGGAGAGCATGGCGGGGCGGAGGACGAGGACGAGTGAATCGTCGCCTGGATTTGCCATTACGATCACCATCGCTCTTTCTCTTGCGTTTCTTCTTGTCAGCCTCATAATCAGAATGGTCAGAGTCATGATCAGAGGATGGAACATCGATGAGCGGATCGAAGACACGTTCGAACGGGTCGTCGTCCTTGTATTTGCGGTTCGCAACACCTCCGGCCGGCATATCAGCTTCAGCAGTCACGACGTTCATGGTTTGGGTGTTTTTGTTGGTAGCTTGAGCTTTCTTGCGGGTAGTAGGAGCCATGGTCACGGGGTGGTGAATGAATCTGTTCAAATCTGAGCAATCAACCCGTTCGCTGGAAATGGATCTGTCTTACGAGAGCACGATATCTGAGACGTCTACAGAGACGACCAGGAGGTTTGACTGTTTGTAAACCGGCGGATCAAAGGGGAGACGAAAGAAGCTTGTGAGGAAAGATGGAGATGGAGATAGGGAAGGACAAGGAAGACGGGGGAGTGTTTTCAAAAAGATCAAATTCACGCAACGCGTCTGTGGAAAAGCAGCGTCTCAACCACCTCTCGCTTGGCAGGCAGCTGTATAGCAGCGAGCAGCAAGCTAGAGGCAGGAGGAAGGAGGAAGGAGGGAGTTGACAATGTGATTCCCAGGAAGGAAGGACCGCCAATGCTCTGTTAAAGCAGC